ACGACTCAAGATCTTAGCACATACGCACAGTGCCGATTTATAAATTCCGCAAAAACACTAGCATGTGCAGGCTTGTATATGTCGCTATGTTCTACCGGAAATTCAAAATACCAGCTTTACCTTTGTATTTCTGTGGTTTTGCAGCATTTTTATTTTTTTGTCGGAATCTTTTTTATTCACCCGCTCGCACTAGTTTAGGGGTCTTCAGAGGATGTTATCCACAAAATGAAGTCGGTGTGGCCTGATGCATAAAAGAAAATAGTGGGTGTCGAAAAGGGTTAGAATGGCTATTTACATATTCGTGTTTTAGTGAGTTTGACCGATGTTTGTGGTTATTATGTAGCATCAAAGAACAATGTATTTCTTCTAATTTTTTCAAGGTGAAAAAAAGCGTTTCGGTGAAGGAAACCCGAGACGTCTGGTTCACAGAGCAAGAGGCAGATGTAGCCAGGTGTCAACATCATTCAGCCTTTAACAGCGGCGTTTACAGAAAATCTTTATATTTGTCAGACATTATACTAACTGGTATTTTCATTGTAAATTTTGAGATATCTTTGGTTGGAAGAGCAGCATCTCTAGATTACATAGCATTGAAATTATATAGATGTAACTTATAACAGAAACGCTTTCTATACTGAATCCTTGTTCGATTTTCTTACCCAAATTACCATGACGCGCCGGCACATTTATCACGTCATGACCGTTGCTATGGTTTTGACCTTTGCCATCCTGGTCGTCGCCAGCAAAGAAGCACCGAACAAGGTCATGAGAAAACTGCTATCTCAAGGATGTAGAATTACAGATTATCATTACGTATCTAAATATAATCCACCAAGGATAACTTGTGACAACATCGGGTTTACAAGTGTCCCTGAAGGACTGCCACAAAACATGGCTGAACTCCAGTTACCAAACAACGCCATAACATCATTTCCCTGTGCCGGTGTAAACCTGATTAACCTGAAAATACTCAACCTAAGGAACAATAGAATCAGCTCCTTTCCGTGGAATTGCCTTAAGTATATGCGGAGTATAACTAAATTAGATTTGTCACATAATCAGCTGTCATGTGTCAAGCTTTTCTCTGTTAAGTTTTTCGTCCCTCGCCTAAAAATGGTGAACATTTCTTACAACAGGTTGATGACATTGTCAGAGTGTGATCTTGGGTGGGACATGAGTTTGCAGGTACAAAATCACTTGGGACATTTTGTGCAATATAATTTGTCAATAGAGGGTAACCCTCTTTACTGTAGCTGTAGCATATCGTGGGCCATCAAACTGGCGAAAATCGTGAATAAGTGCCGGAAAAAAATGTGCGATTGTTGTAAGCAATTCTTTGATAACGAAAATCCCATCAAACCTCAGATGTGGAAAGATCTGGAAAATTTCCGGTGTGAAACACCTCCAGGTTTAGCAGGATTTGAACTGCTGAATTCAAACATCTCAGACTGTCCTCAATTAAGATACAGTCCCTGTCCTATTGAGCATACATGCCCCGGAGTAGAGACCGAAGCCTCTACCTCTACCTTCTTGCCAACAACAACTAGCAGCTCAGAACTATCCACAGAGACAAGTGAGGAACCAAAACAAACACAGACAGGACTAAATCAGCAGACAACCCAGAACGTGAGCTTTGAAACCTTGAGAGAAATGTTTTCACCGACAACAGTAGAATTGTACAGTGTAAAGTCAGTGTCTTCTCCATACCCCAGTCTCTTGGTATCAGGCTGGATGCTGACTGGTATGGTTGTTGGAGGGATTGTTGCCCTGTCAGGTCTGATATTAGCTGTTTATTGTGCAGTGTCTAGGAATCAGGCTGACCATGGGAACAACATGGCGGCTAGCTACGTTGTTAACAATCACCAGGTTGACATCTCTCAGCTGAGCGCAAAGGTTGACGCCCAGACAGGTTATAGCGGTGGATCTGATTATGCTTCTCCATATGCAAAATCGATGTATGTTTTTCACGTTCCTCAATACGACACTGCGGACCGTAGTATAAATGTGCAAGCCAATTAGACTGCTGCCACACATTAACGACCTTCTCCCGACCTTGCTCCAGAACACCAGCCGACCTGTGTCGGATAAAGTTCTGGTGAATCTCACTTTTCCAGCAATTGATATAAAAGGGGGCATCAAAATTTTAACAAGTAAAATGTAAAAAAAAAGGAGAAAAATCTAACTTTGTCGGAAATCGTATCAGTAGCCCTAATATGTAATAAGATTATCTCAAACACAATCAGCTGTAGGGGACAGACGACTATTTCCAACCACATTGGAATACATTGTGAATATATAAGAACTGAGCTGGCAAAAATCACCTACCTGAGTGTTCAACCATTGCAAACAGGGTAGTCCAACAGGGTAGTCCAGCTTCAAAATTGTCCATTTAGTTTTAAAAAGTTTGACCAGCAGAAATAAGTACAAGAGATAGAAACACTGAGATCATGACCCCTGTACACCACCAAAAAAACAGGAAGTTAGAAGAAGAGTAAAAGTCAGGGTTTTTTCAACAAAAAAAAGAAAGAACTCTCCAGCTGGAAAATGCCAGCATTTGTCCACACATACCGAGAGGAAGGCTGTTTTCAGTTGATTTGGGTGCACTCATCAAAGGGGCCTTTGTCCTATAGGATGAGTAGCTTCTGCAACTACTAACATTGACAATAATGTAGCATACCATCCCAAGGACTATGGACGTTATAACCATTAGTATTATTACGTTTGAGTGCATCACCATTATTAGATATTACTTTTTTGATGTATTATTTATCTTACTTATGTAGAATGTGCGATCTGTTGTGTAGTCTGCGTTTGCGTATAGAACAAAGTCTCAATACATATTTTAACCAACAGAGTATGTGACCGCCACGTGTAAGTCAGGATTCTATCACAATTTACTTTGATAAAGCAGTCAGGCAATGGATGCTTTCTTCACTTAAAGTTATTTACACAGCCAAATGGAAAAGACGACGACTGAATCATGTTACATAACGTTGTTGTATTTAGGTTGCTATGGATGTTGATATAGCCATGCCATTTTGGTTTTAACCACTGTAGTATGAACCATGTAGTATTCGTAAATTATTCGCTACAAGATCAACTGTGTGACTACTGTAGATTGTAAAATTACAGCACTAATCATTTAAGGACAATAACTGAAAATCACGAGTTGGCAAGTTTGTTTCAAGGTAAGACAATGTTATCATCCCAGCACAGTGTAAGTTTAAACAGCACGATGTACATGTATATGTAACGTTGAATGCAAATCAAGACTGTGTGTTGAGTTTAAAGTGTCTTCTATAAATGACATATGCGTTTTTGAACACTAGAAATTGCTATCAAGTTATAGACGTCATAATGATTATAACCATGAAAACTACAACCCAACCCTATTTAAACCAAGGCTTCTTGTTCTGTTTAAGCAAAAAATATCCCAGAAGAACACGCCTACAGCCATCAGTACCAACGCAGTGATGTTAGTGAACCGTCCCCAGAACTTGAACTTTTAGTGACGTCATCATCTGTAAGGAACCGAGATACGTGTGAAATAAAACTATCTTAACAATAGACGCTGCAAAGATGTTGATTTTTAGTCGTAATTTACTTTTATGGAGCATCTGCATGTGCCTAACTATCATTATGTAGACAGTTTTGATAGAAAAACCACATGTTTTGCTGTTGCCTTGCTTTCTACATATGAGCCTTTTCTGTTTTAATCAATGACATAAAAAGCTTTGGTGCCTGTCTCAGATGCAAAATGAAGACGTCAGCCATTAATATATTCAGATTTCACAACAGACAAAATTGCTCAAGATTCCAGGTAAAGGTTATCTTACGTCAACGGTTTCAAGCTTTCTTGTTGGTCAAGGATGGGCCAATCAAGTGAAAGCACGCGTTGGTTCCCATACGTTTCAGGAAGAAAGAAAGACAAAATTAATTTTTTTTTCATTTATAGAGGAGACGCAGACAATCAATATAGGCGCCCTTCTTCACAGTGCGTCACTCATTGCCGGAGATGCTACAGCGAACAGCGTTTCTCTACCAGTACTAGGGCGGATATACCTCTTGCTAGGTAGGTAGATAACTTTCGACTGAATCATGCCTTTCGTTGCAAAACACTTCGAATCGTGTGTCTATAAGCATATTGCACTTGAGTTATTCTTGAAATGTTACGTGACCGGCGCGGGGGGGGGGGGGNGG